GAGCAATTCTGTCACTGCCCATCTCCCCCTCCAGACTGAGGGAAGATGAGAAGTGACCTGATCAGCCCCATGGCCCCAGCACCTAAATGTCCCTAGTACAGAGTAAGCTGCTCCACAGGCTTCTGTTGAATGAAAAAGTCTGTTTTAACAGGTTGCATCTTTCTCCTTCCAAGCCCAGGGGCCCCATTTCCCAGCAGCAACTGCAGGCCCAGCTCAGAGACTGGGGGAGGGGAGGCTGGTGACAGGAGGTGGTGACTCCTGCAGGACTCTCACCAAAAAGGGTGAGGAAGCAAAGGGGCAGAGGAAGACCTTTGTATTCTCGGCAGGGAAACAAATCCTTGCACCCTTCTCTGCCAGATCCTGCCTCCCCGCTTAGACTCAGCCTCCCCTCCAGGAGACCCACTCAAACTCTCCCCAATCAGGCTTCCTGAGATCCCACCTCCCTCCATCAAGTTACCCCAGGCTTCCCCAAAAGACCCCCGCTCGGCCTCGGCCTCTTCCCTCAGCCTCGACTTCCTTTCCTTTACTCTGAGCCTCCTCCCTCAGACTCGACCTCCTGCTCTCAGCCTCCTCCCCGCTGCCTCCTCCCTCCCCCGACCTCTTTCCTCTGAGCCTCCTCCCTCAGTCTCGACCTCGTTCCGCTCAGCCTCTTCCCTCTGCCTCTCTCTCTGAGCCTCCTCTCTCAGCCTCGTCCTCGCAGCCTCCTCTCTCAGCCTTTCCCCAACGCCTCAGCCTCTCCCAGCCTCCCCGCTCGCATCTCCTCAGCCTCCCTCTCCCGGATCCCGCCCGGCCCCGCCCCCGCCGCGCGCACGGTGCTCACCGTCGTAGTAGTAACAGACTTTCCTCCTGGTGCCCTGAGTCTGCGCCATCTTGCTCGCCTCCCGTCCCTCCCGTCAGTCGGTCCGTCCGCCCTCCCGCCCGCGGCTCAGCTCAGCGTCCGACCCAAGGGGGAGGGGGCGGGCCTCCAGCCCGCTCCGCCCGTCCCCTCCCGGGCTCACCTATAGCCGCGCAGCCCGGGCACGGATCCAGCCAATCAGCTTGCGCAGGGACGGCCCGGAACTCGGCAGGGGGCAAGGGCAGCCCTGAGAGGCAGCCGAGGGCCCCCTGGGCCTGTACCAAGGTCTGCGACAGGGGGGTGGGGGAGCTGCCCGGGGACCGTACCATTAGTCCCGGGGGAAGAAAGCAGAGCCGTACACTTCACCGTCCCATTTCAGTGTTGGAAGCGTGCTTGGAGATCAGAAGCCAACTTTGTAATTTTGTAGAGACTCAGCGGAGGTCTACGTGGGGGGTTGTGGAGGGGGGAAGTGACTTGCACAAGGTCACTGAGCTGATGACACGGCTGAACGTGGATTAGAACGTGGGTTTGGAAGAGGGAGAGATAAACTGATAAAGGAAAGAAAACAGCTGTGGGGCAAGTACTGTGCAACAGCTCCACCGACGTTTATCTCAACGATTGCTCACAGCAGCTTTGGAAGAGGCTTTTGATTCCCATTTTATGGATACGGACAATGAACTTCAGATCTCTGTGACCTGCTCAGAGTCACACAATGAGTAATTAGATCCAACTTTCAATAGTACAGATTTTGTGAATGCCCACTGTGCAGCAGAGACACTAACGAAGGTGCAGAACCCAGCCTTTTTTTCTTGTTTAAATTTTATTTATTTCATAGATAGCGAGAGAGGGAACACAAGCAAGAGGAGCTTGTGTTGAGAGAGGGAGAAGCAGGCCTCCAGCTGAGCAGCTGGGGCTGGATGCCCAACCCTGGGATCATGACCTGAGCCAAAGGCAGCCGCTTAATGACTGAGTCACCCGGGCGCCCCAAACCCAGCCTTGCTTACGCCAAACTTCCCTGATGCCGTCACCCAGGAGGACTCAAGAGTGCCTTTACACAAGAGGAAACCTTGTGCTAGAGAAGGGTTTCTCGAGCTATTGAAGCTATTAGGATTTGGAGCTGGATAATTCCACACTGCAGGGGGCTGTCTTGAGCATTGTAGGATGTTTAGCAACATCCTTAGCCTTTACTCATTAGAAGCCAATAGCACCTTCCACTCCCACCCCCCAGCTGCAATAACAAAAATTGTCTCCAGACATTGCAAAACTGTCCCCAGGGCAAGGTGTGCGTGTGCGTGTGCATGTGCGTGTGTGTGTGTGTGTGTATGTGTAAGATTACCCCTACCTTCCCCTTGAGAACCACTGCTCTAAATTGATCAAACAATCAACAACTGTTCATTGTTGAAAGCTGAAAGACTGAAAAGCACTGCGATGGGCTATTAAAATAATAAAATACAACAGTATTAATATTTAGTGGATACTTAACTATTTGTGTGCCAAGTAAGTTACAAACTCATGGTCCTACCTATAGTCGATAAGATACATTTTTATGCCTCTTCAATTTATTTGTTTATTTATTTATTTATTAAGTAGGCTCCACACCCAGCGTGGAGCCCAATAGGAGGCTTGAACTCACGACTCCGAGATTAAGACAGCTTCATCAAGAGTTGGATGCCTAACCAGCTGATCCATCCAGGTACCCCTATGCCTCTACAGTTAAAGACTGCTTGCGCACTTGTGTTCCTCACTTAAGAACTGCATTTGGGCCACTGATTATAAAAGTAACAGAAGATCTAAGACTGGGCAATTCTATCATAGAAACAGCTAAAGGGCCAGGGGATTAACCCCTGTTTCCAGCTCTGTGTTGCTGCTTTCTGGCTAATAACCTTTCTGGCTCCCACTTCCCTTTTTGTAAAATGGAGAGGATAAGAATACAAAGTTCACCAGCTCTATGGCTGCACACAGTATCCAGAAGAAGAGGAGGGTGGGGATCAGATGAGGTCATGGGTGTGGCAACATTTTATAAAATGCAGAACAGGAGTCAGAAACACAGATCCTTCCAGAGGTGAGGCAGGTGGTATAAAAATAAGTGGATTTATATTAGTTTGATTCAAGTGCTTTCCATATTTCTAAAATTGGATTCTTTTTCACTTTCCTGAAGCAATATGCCTTTCCCCCATCTTTCCTCAAACACACTGCCATCTGCAGGTGTCTTTCATACTCTCACTTTTTAATGGAAATAGAGGTGAAAAACATTTCATTTTCCTCTTCATTCTAAGAACAACAGTGCAAGCATGATGAACCACTCGCACTCAGTTTCACTGTCTGGCAAAGGGACTCCGGCAAAGAAAGAGCTCAAGCCCTACCCGAAGGGGGAGCCACTACCCAGCTCCCTGAGGACAGGAAACCAAATCTTCAAACTTTTTTTTTTAAAGATTTTATTTATTTGACAGAGAGAGAGAGAGAGATCACAAGCAGGCAGAGAGGCAGGCTCCCTGCTGAGCCTGCTGTGGGGCTCTATCCTAGGACCCTGAGATCATGACCTGAGCCGAAGGCAGAGGCTTAACCCAATGAGCCACCCAGGTGCCCCCACGCTGTTTTTTCAAGAGAAGGCAGAAATGAGTAGTTTTAGGCAAAATCTTCCCAGTTTTATAAATTGACTGCTAACTCAGTTAACATTCAAGACAGAAGGAAGGGCCCTTCTTTTAAAATGTAAGTCAGATCATGGGGTGCCAGGGTCCCTCACTTGTGTGTGTGTGTGTGTGTGTGTGTACACGAGCTCTCAAAAAAAAAAGCTTAAAAAATAGTAATAAAGCATAAGTCAGGTCATGTCATGGCTATGCAAAAAATCTACCCCTGAGGCCCCCTGTCTGGACTTTCTGTCTCCGTGCTGGCCAAGGGAGCTTCTGCCTCAGGCTGTTCCCTCATCCTGGCCTCTCCTCCCCCTAAAATGTGGCTTGCTCCCTCATCTCCTTTAAATATTTGCTCAAAAGTCACCTTCTCAATGAGGCCTTCCCAGACCATCCTGTTTAGAATTGTACATTTCCCCCAAACATGACACTCCTCATTCCCCTTACCCTGCTTTATTTTCCCCTCAGCACTCAGCACCTTGTAGCATACCATATCATTTACTTCTTTGTGACGTTTATGGTGTCTTCCCTTACTAGGATGTAAGCTCCCTAAGGACAGAGATTTTGTTTGCTTTCTCTGCCCTATATTCTATGAACCCAGAACCATGCCTAACACACAGATGTTCAATAAACATTTGCCAAGTTCTGCCTGAGCGGCGCAGTCGGTTAAGCATCCGACCCTTGGTTTCCACTCAGGTAGTGGTCTCAGGGTCTTCAGATTGAGCCCCATGTGGGGCTCCGCGCTCAGTGCTGAATCGGCTTGAGAATCTCTCTCCCTCTCCCTGCCACTCCCACTTGTGTTGTCTCACTCTCTCAAATAAATAAACAAATTATAAATAAGGAAATATTTGCCAAATGAGTGATTCAATTCAATGCTTAAAAACATCTTGGGGTGGGGGGGGGAGTGCCCGGCTGTCTCAGTCAGCAGACTGGGTGACTCTTGACCTCAGGGTTGTGAGTTCCAACCCCATGTGGGGTGTAGAGACCATTTAAAAATAAAATCTTTGGGGCACCTGGGTGGCTCAGTGGGTTAAGCCTCTGCCTTCGACTCAGGTCACGATCTCAGGGTCCTGCTATCGAACCCCATCTTGGGCTCTCTGCTCAGCAGGGAGCCTGCTTCTCTCCCTCTCTCTCTGCCTACTTGTGATCTCTGTCTGTCAAATAAATAAGATCTAAACAAAATAAAACATATCTGAGTACAAACATAGCCCCAGAATCAGTAGCTGTAAAAAGTGGTATTACCCTTAAGTAATGGGAGGGGAGGGTGTCCTGGGACACACCCACTCCCCACAAGGCTCTACGTAGGGGTCACCCTTAATCCTTTGGGGTGGGAGTTTGAAGGAGTTCAAAGAGCCCATCCAGCAACGTGTAGGAACTTCCTCTTGGCTCCCCAAATCAGCAGAGCTGGAAAAAGTTCAGACATCCCCTCATCCCATCTTTCACCCCAATTCAGGGTGACTTAATTTCCATCTTCTGAACCCCTACTTCCCCCTCCCAAGGAAGTGTAGATGGGAGTGAATGCGGAGCTGAGAGATATGTAATCTTCATCAACAGAGAGTCATTTATTGAGCTCCTAATGTGTGCCAGGCTCCAAGGAGAGCACACAGAGGTATCAGATAAGGTCCCAGCCTTCAAGAAGCTTCTTGATGGGAGGGGAAAGGGAAAGGGGGTGGGCAGAAGCCAGTGTCAATCACAGGCGTCCCTCTTCTCTCTGGTTGCCTTGGGAAGTAGAAGGGCCCACAAAGGGACAACTTGAACAGGTGCCCAAGACATAATATACCCATGCCACACACGTACAAGACACCTGTGCAGAACCCACACAGCTACAGAAGCCTGTATAAGACAACAGGAAGTGGCCCTGCCACGCGTCGGCGGGATTCACAGAGTCCGTAGGTGCATAGGCGACACGGGGATGACGAGTATGACACAAGAACTGCATCTCCCCCAGCCAGGTGGGCTAGATGGAGGGAGGGCTCTGGGCCCGGCCCGCTGGGTGTGTCAGGGCTGAGGCTGGTACTGGCCCTCTGTGGCCGTGAAGAAGTCCTCCAGCACACTGCGCAGGTAGTCGAAGGTGGGCCGGTCCTCTGGGCGCTCCTTCCAGCAAAGCATCATGAGGTGGTACAGCTCCTCGGGACAGTTGTCAGGTCGCACCATGCGGTAGCCTCGCTCTAGGTTCTGAATCACCTCAGGATTGGTCATCCCTAGAGATTGATGGGAGAGATGATATCAAGGCTCCAGGCTTCCGACCCCCATGGCAGGGGTGACTTTCAGAATATTTAACTGGCATGGTGTGAGCACCGATCCGAAAGAATCTCGGTAGGCATCAACACTAAGGCCTTGTACTTCGGGTACCAGCCACACATCAGCCAGGCCACTTGGAGTGTCGGCTGTGGCTTAAGCACTTAATAACACGTATGTGATGATTGTGAGGCCATGCGTGAGCCATCTCCCCTCTTTGGGCCTCAGTTTCCTCATCTGGGAAATGGACCTAAGAATAACTCCTACCTCATATAGCTGTTATGAAAATTGAAGGAGATAGTGCTTGTAAAACACCAAGTATAGGGCCTGGAGAGGAGATGCTACATGAAGAATATCTGTGATTATTATGATTTGGTGGTGGAATATGGGGTGGTCAGGCCCCAGGGCAGGACAGGAGCCTACAGACGGCACAGGGGTGAGGCTTCTCTGGTTTGGGAAACAGGCACATGAGATGCCAGGTGGGCCCTGGAAACCAGCAAAGCAGACCCTGCATAAGGTAGATTCACCAGATCCCTCTAGGAACCAGATTAAATAATTTGGGGACCATGTCCCTTAAAACTAGGAAATTCAGGAAATCAGAGGACATAGACCAGAGAACTAAACACCATGGCTAGAGTCAAGGATGCAAACCCATAGTCTGCACCCAGCCTAAATAGCCCATAGACCTACTTTGGTTTGACCCCTATTGGGGTTTTTTTTGTTGTTGTTTATTTATATTTATTTATTATTATTTATTTTATTTTTTTAAGTAGGCTCCACACCCAGTTAGAGTCCAATGTGGGACTTGAACTCAAGACCCTGAGATCAAAACCTGAGCTGAGATCAAGAGTTGGATGCTTAAACAACTGAGCCACCCAGGCACCCTACTGTGTTTTTAAACAATTTGAATCAATCATCAATATTTGGATATAGGAAATTTTCTTAAAATTCCAAGGTTTGGGGGCGCCTGGGTGGCTCAGTGGGTTAAGCCTCTGCCTTCGGCTCAGGTCATGATCTCAGGGTCCTGGGATCGAGCCCCGCATCAGGCTCTCTGCTTGGCAGGGAGACTGCTTCCTCCTCTCTCTCTTTCTGCCTGCCTCTCTGCTTACTTGTGATCTCTCTCTGCGAAATAAATAAATAAAATCTTTAAAAAAAAATTCCAAGGTTTGGCTTCTCTTGAAAAAGAAAAGGTCTGGGGACACCTGGGTGGCTCAGATGATTAAGCATCTGCCTTCAGCTCAGGTCATGATCTTCTGGTCCTGGGATTGAGCCCTGTGTTCAGCAGGGAGTCTGGGAGTCTGCTTTTCCCTCTCCGTCTGCTTCTCTCTCCTGCTCACACTCACTCTCTTTCTCTGTCTCAGATGAATACATTTTTTAAAATCTTAAAAAATAAAAAAAAAAGAAGAGAAAATATCTGTTTTGGGGGTTCCTATGTCTTAGTGGTAATGCAAGTTCACCCAGGCCCCATTACTCCCCATTATCTCCCTAACCCTGAAGTCACGTGTCAGTTGCCAATTATTCTCATGCTTTCAATGCTTTTTTTCATCTTTTAAAATTAATTAATTAATTATTTTGTTTGTTTGTTTGTTTTTAAGTAGGTTTCATGCCCAGTGTGGGTCTTGAACTCATTAGCCCAAGATCAAGAACTGCATGCTATACTGACTGAGCCAGCCAGGCGCCCCACGTTTTTTTATTCTTCTTCTTTTTTTTTTTTTTTAAGAGTTTTATTCATTGGGGTGCCTGGGTGGCTCAGTGGGTTAAAGTCTCTGCCTTCGGCTCAGGTCATGATCTCAGGGTCCTGGGATTGAGCCCCGCATTGGGCTCTCTGCTCAGCAGGGAGCCTGCTTCCTCCTCTTTCTCTGCCTGCCCCTCTGCCTACTTGTGATCTCCGTCTGTCAAATGAATAAATTTTTAAAAATCTTTAAATAAAAAAAGATTTTTATTTATTTGACAGAGAGAGAGAGATCACAAGTAGGTAAAGAGGCAGGCAGAAAGTGAGGGGAAGCAGGCTCTGTGCTGAGCAGAGAGCCCAATGCGGGGCTCAATCTCAGGACCCTGAGACCATGACCTGAGCTGAAAGCAGAGGCTTAACCCACTGAGCCACCCAGGAGCCCCTGCTTTTTTTTTTTTTTTTTCTTCTAACAGAGAAATTCTCTATGGGTTCACCTCTGTGGGCACAGTGGAGGAGCTGTAAGGACATTTGGCTGGGTGACTGGAGTGTGGTTCTCGCCCCCGTGCTGCCCTTGGACTCTGATAGGGCCAGTCCTGGGAAGAGAAGTCCTTCAGGCTCTCACCTAATTCTAAGGTGCCTTTACCTTTCTAGGAGCAAAATTCTGTACATAGCGCTCTGGGGGTATGGGAAGCTTCTGGATTTCTGGCCATTGTGCTCCGTGACTTTTCTCCCCTATCTTTGCGTTCCATTTCCTTTCCCCAGAACTTCCTAGCAAGTTCCTTTCAAAAAATTCCATCTGTCTTGGCTGAATTCGGGGGTAAAGGACTGTGTCCAGAGGTTAGAGGAAGGGATAGGAGAGGGTAGGAATTAGTCATTTATATATCTCTCTCATTTGTTATGTGGAAAGTTCCAGAAGGCAGGGAAGTCACTGCTTAGTGAGCACCTGCTGGGAGTCAAACTCTTTCACAAATCGCCTCTTTTGTTCATATCAGGAAACTGAGGCTCAGAGAGGTAAAGTCACTTGCCCAAAGTGATGATTAATAATAAAACCTAGGGGCTCCTGGGTCGCTCAGTCGGCTAAGTGTCCGACTTGCTCAGGTCTTGATCTCAGGGTTATGATATCAAGCCCCGTGTTGGCTCCGTGTTCAGTGAGGAGTCTGTTTGAGATTCCCCCTCTCCTTTGCCCCTCCCCCTGCGCTCTTGCTCTCTCAAATAAATAAATAAATCTTTAAAAAATAATAATAATAATAAAACCTAACACTCTTGAGTGCTTAGTATGGGCCAGATACTGTTCTAACCTCATAATTTACAGGTGGGGAAAGAAAGAATGATCTGACTGGGGGCATCTGGGTGGCTCAGTGGGTTAAAGCCTCTGCCTTCAGCTTAGGTCATGATCCCAGGCTCCTGGGATCAAGCCCCGCATCACATTGGGCGATTGAGCTCCTCTGCTCAGCAGGGAGCCTACTTCCCTTCCTCTTTCTCTCTGCCTGCCTCTCTGCCTACCTGTGATCTCTGTCTGTCGAATAAATAAATAAAATCTTAAAAAAAAAAAAAAGAAAAAGAATGATCTGATCAAACCCAAATAGAAATTAGCATCAGTGGCAGATCTGGTAGTAAAGGCAGGCCTTTTCCCTCCCAAGTCAGATCCTCTTCTACCATCCCAGGCTGCCCGTGTCAGAACTTAAGAGCTGGGATTATTGAAGGAGGAGAGAGATCGAGACAGACACGGAAGACGGAAGCCAGCCCTAGGAGATGTGGCACCTGACTGGGGATTCTGGAGTCCTGAGTGAATACAGGAAAAGCAGCTAGGAAGATTCAGAATCTGAACCAGGGACAGATGAAGTGAGTGGACAGACATGCATGGGCTACTCTTCCCCATCACCCTTTCAGTTCCTACCCTTGGCCCTGACCTGGGTAAGGAATGCGGCCATGGGTGACAATCTCCGTCAGCAGGATCCCAAAAGACCACACATCCGACTTGATGGTGAATGTCCCATAGTTAATGGCTTCTGGTGCTGTCCACTTAATGGGAAACTTGGCTCCTGGAGAGAGGCAGAGAGAGGTCACCTGGGTCTGCTTGGCCAGACCCCACAGGCCCCAGAATTCCCTTATATCCCACACCTACCCTCCCTGGCTGTGTACTCGTTGTCCACGATGAGGCGTGCTAGGCCAAAGTCTGCAATCTTGCAGCTCAGGGTGTCAGAAACGAGGATGTTGGCAGCCCTCAGGTCACGGTGGATGTAATTCCGCTCTTCAATGAATGCCATGCCCTCTGCAATCTGAAGACCAGGTAGGAGGTCAGCAGCCCTGGGCCGAACATCCTTACCTCACTGGGCTGTGCACCTGCCCAGCCCCTCCCCAGTCTCCTTACTTGGGCTGCCATGTCCAGGAGTTTGTTGATGGTCAGCTTGATGCCTGGGGGTGTCTTGAGGAAATCTACCAGGCTCCCTGTGAGCAGAAGCAAAAGTTGCTGACTCAAGATGTCCCAGCAGATAGCCCCCAGACAGGTCGCCTGGGTGGCTCAGTCAGTTAAACGTCGGCCTTCAGCTCAGGTCAGGATCCCAGGGTCCTGGGATTGAGCCCTACACCGGGTACTCTGCTTAGTGGGGAGCCTGTTTCTACCTCTCCCTCTGTCTACCACTCTGCCTACTTGTGCTCTCTCTCTCTGTCAAGTAAAATCTTTTAAAAAAAGAAAAATTTGTTATTAAAAAAAAGAAAGAAAGAAAGCTCCCCGAGCCTTCTCCTCTAACTGGCTATCTAGAAGCAGTGTCTGACATGTGGAAAGAAGAGTAAGGGGTGAGAATGGAGAAGTGTGCATTCAGGGTGAAGATACCCAGGATATATGAAGGCTTTTCCTGGGGACTAGGATGGAACATGCTTGGAGAAGTCGGTAAACTTCTTGTCACCAATGGGGTAAAATCCAAACTCCTTAGCCGGGTGTCCAAATTCCGGCACGGTCCGTACTGTAGTTTCGTCTTTCCCCCATTCCTACTTCTTTCGCTTCACCCACCCTAGATAATTTTGAAATTTTTCATATAGACCACTGGGGTCTCACCCCAAAGTCTCTTTGTCCCATCTCTGCCTCCTAAAAATTCTACTTTTCTTTCATGGCCCAGCTAGACTATTCCTCTAGGAAGCCTCTCTAGATCCTACCAGGCCTAATAAATTGCATCATTATCTACATTCCCATGACATGCTGGAACTCTCCTGTGGCAAAACTCTGGTTTTCCTAGAGTTTGTGCCACATAACTAAAATGCAGTTCCCCTGAAAGCAGGAGCCTTGTTTTGTCCATCCATTCTCTTGGTGTCCCTCCCAAAATAAGCAGTGATAAATGTGTGCCAAAGATATTGAATGGAGCATAGTAAGAGCTGCCTGGGGGGCTGAGGGACAACATCTGGAAGCAAAGGGTAACTAGAAGAAGACCAGGGATGACAGTTGCTGGAACAGAGCTAGTGACTTCTCAAGAGATTAAAACCTTGTGTAAAGGTGGCAACAACCTAAATTTCCCTACTACGAGGGCTGAATTAGTCACCAAAGATAAAAGGCTCCCCCAGACACAGCAAATACATGGGCATGTACTGCCACTCCTGCATCAAATCCATGGTAGATTCTCCCAATCAATCCCAGCACTCATTTCCAGTGAGCCTCAGAATCCTCCTCAACACAGCACTCCAAGCAGCTACCACTTGAACTTGGTCCACATGGTAAACCTATTTGCTACTTCCAGAATCCAAGAGCCAATTAGGAGCCTTTTTCCCTTCCTGGAAGAGGGACAGCTCTTATACTCCCAAAGAATCAGAGCCAGATAACAACAAACTTGCTGAGCAGTAAATATACTGCAGGCACTATTCTAACACCTCTGTGTACACTGACTCTGTCATCCTCACAAAGTCCCCATGAGAAAGTTACTATATAATTATTATCACATATTACAGATGAGGACACCACAGCAGAGAGCTGTGAAGGCCACACAATCATGAAGGCAAGATTCTAACATAGGCAGTCAGATTCTAGAGCTTGTAATGACTACTCTAAATTATTTCTGGGTGAGCCCGTTCAGATTTCTGATGTTATACTTGGGGAAAATGAGCACCAGAGATGGGACAAGGACTTGGCCTGTCACAGCAAATTGGTGACAAAGCTGGGCCTAAAATCTTTGGGGGGGGGGGCCTAGAAACTTCTATCCACCTTCCTGGGTGCTCTCAATCAGTCCAAGGGAGGACAAGAGGCTCACTTAGACCTGAAAAAGAGAGATTTGAGGCAGATCTGCCCTCTCAAGGGTCAGGGTCAAAAGGAAGAGAGAAATAAGGCTAGAGACCCACACATTTGAAATCAAGCATCCCGGGGGTGGGAGGGCATCTGGGTGGCTCATGGATTAAACATTTGCTTTCAGCCCAGGTCAGGATCCTAGGGTCCTGGGATCAAGCCAGTCCCCGGCTCCCTGCTGGGTGGGGAACCTGCTTCTGTCTCTTCCCCTGCTTCTACTCTCTGCTAAATAAGTAAATAAAATCTTAAACACACACACACACACACACACACACACACACACACACACACACACACACAAGAATCCCGAGATCTTGATCTTAAGCCTTTGAAAAAGGCCCGGGAAAATGAGAAGTGAAAGCTCTTCCGGAGCCTGCCACCTTAAGCTGGGCTCCCAGACAGGCTCGAACATCACACCCTCTCCCTGTCCCTGGTGGTGAGTCTTTAGGTGCCCAGGAAAACTAGAAACCCTGAGCCAGGCGAAAAGGCAGATCTCCTCCATCTCCTATCAGGGGCTGGGGCGGGGGGGG